CCAGAGCAGGCCTCTACGCTCCAGGGTACAACTCCCACCACCCTGTTCCACACCATGAAGACCCCTGGCTGGGCCCCAGGTTCTCTGGTCCAACCTCTTACTCCCTCACTACCTGCCCCTCTACTCCAAACCAGTGGGTCCTGGTAACTCCTATTGACAAGGAGATGCTGGGTTAAGGAGATGCTGGGCTAAGGTACACTGGGTCAAGGGCCCTGCCTTGTACACACTGGTTCCTCTGCCTAACCCCACTCCTGTACTGCATGACAGCCCTCCAGTTTAGCACTAGCCAAAGTTGCTCTGGCCGGGCTGCCAGGGCTCCCGGGCCACACCGGGCCACACCCCACACTCCACTGTGGGTCTGGCATCCAGGAAACCCCTACATAATGAGCAGGGCTTGTTCCCATTGCAAAAGTGAGGACGCTGGGGTTTTTGAGATGTGGTCTGTTCACTGACTCTTTATGGTTGGGGCCAAGGAAACAAGGTCCTTGTCCTCCATGGGTCAGCTGAATTGTGTCCCCTCAAATGGTAGGCAGAAGTCCTAATCCCATCACCTCTGAAGGTGAGTTGGTTTACAAAAGGTCTCTGCAGGTGGGACCATGGGTTGTAGGGTGGGCCTTCAGCCCACCACATGGCACAGACAAGGAGAACACCACATGCCTGCCAAGGCACAGACCGGAGTGAGGTATCTACATGCCAAATGACATCAAGGATGGCAGGTGACACCCTGATGCTCAGTGGGCAGATGGCAGACCTTTTCCCAGACCTTCAGTGACCAGGCCAGGTAGATATACCTATATGCAGACTCTGACCTCAGAGCTGGAAGAGAAGACGTTCCTACTGTTTTAACTGGCTTTGTGGTCATTTGTTTTTAGGAACTTGTTTAAAGGTTTACATAAATGTAATGTTTTGCCTATCTGAGAGGATGGGGGACTCCCTGAGGCTGATTACGAAGGATCTAAGGCATGGCATCCCCAGTGCTTGGACTGCCGGGGGAGAGGGGACACCGTGTGTCAGTTCTGCACTGGCAGAGGGGGCTCCGTTCCTACTGGTTTTCCATTTCCTCCCAGTCTAAACAACAGGAAGTCACCTACTGGGGGAGGTGCCTGGAGGAGGAAGAGTCTCGGTTGGGTGGGGAGTAAGTTCTGGGAGTCATATTTTTTTCAGCCTAATTATTCTAAGCTGCAAATCAATATTGTGTTTGGGGCTTCCAATGGCCACCTGTCTTTTTATGACCTAAGACTGACCAGAGAGTCAAAGACCAGCTTCAGCCAGGATAGGGAGGGGACCCTGTTGGCTGGCTGTGTACTCCAGGCCTTTGTCCTGATGAGACACTGGCTTCCAGAGCCATGTGACTCTGATGGGAGTACAGGGATAGAACCTGGGCAAGGGTTAGGGGACTTCTAAAGCCTCCAGGTGATTCTGAGGTCAGGAACATTTGAGAATGACTGGGCAGACCAGTCACTATACAGACTGTGCAAGACCAAAGCAAGGCTGAGCTTTGGGCCACCTGATCCATTGGACATGGGAAGGTATGGTCCTTGTCACATGTTCATCCTATACTAAAAAATGCTGCAGCAGGCTCCTTTACCAGCACAGAGGCCCCAGCAAGTCTGCACTCCCTGAATGGTGCTGGCTTCCCCCAGAGCTGGTGTCCACCAGTCCCAGGTGGCTTTTCAGGACCCAGCCTCAGAAGACCTAGAGTATCACTCATATCCCACCAGAAAGTCACTGAGGTGGCCCAGACTTTAAGAGAATGGAAATGGAGCCCAGCTCCTGGGTGAAAGAATGGGGCTGGCCATCTTCAGATGCAAGGATTCAGGGCTCCTTTTCTCCCCTGCCCTGAGGGTCTTGGTGGCCCCTGCCCTTCTGGCCATAGGGAAATGGATGTCCTGCTCACAATCCATAATTCCCCAAGTTTCTGGGGACTCAGCAACTGTTTGGGGCTGCACAGGATGCTTTCAAAGTAGCAGGAAAGACTGCCCAGGTGCCCTGGGTTGCGGTGGAGAATCTAGGAGCTTGGTCTTTTCACTGCTGGGGTCGCAGTCACTCCCGCAACCTCCTCTGCCTCCTATACAGCACCTAAGGGATACCTCTGCAGCAGGATAACATGTCCACTCTGTACAGATGACAAGGTGTCATTTCAACACTTAACTTTGCAGAGCAAAATCCTCACAAAGGTTTATACACTCTGGGTGTTTTTAAGCGGGACTCCTACTTAAAAATACAAAGGCAGGAAGCTCAGCTCTGGAGTCACATGGATCTGGGATCTGGTTCCATTCTCTAGCCAGTTAATCATTTTAACACACACTCCTGACCCCACCCATTCCTCCAGCTTCCATCCTCCACAGGGCAGAGATTTCCATCAGGCACTGCTTTAATTATAAGCCACTTCTGGGCTCAAGGACCCACTATGGCTCCCAGTGTCCCCTGATTCAATGTCAACTTATCCTACCAGTCAGCACCTTCCATGATCTGGTCCTGACTGCTCTCCCTGAGACCTACTGTGCTCCCTATCCTCTAGCACTCTGGAGGATTCTGAATATGTCATGGACCTCCACATCTCCATGTCTCTCTTCCTAGAGTGCTCCTTCCCAGGCTCACCAGGGAAAATCTGCCCGATGTCCTAATACATCCACTGCCCCATTCTCAAAGTCCTGATGGTGCTATTTACATTTGGCATTTTGCATTCATTTTCTTTTCCTGTCAGTGTCTTCTCACAGAGCACCTATCTTGTTTCCTTATCCAATTATCTAATAGATGCCTACTGAAGACCTACTATGTACCAGACACTTCTTGGCCTATCCTTCTTGCTGGGTCTTGGTCTGACCTATCACTCAATCAATACACTATAAGCATCCAGAAAGAGAATCTACATCCTACCCAACTCTGTCTCCCAGCATCGCTGTCCTGGAGCCCAAGAGGGGACTTGACACAGCAGGTGCTGAAGAAGTAGATGGAGTACCAACTTTTTTCTACAGAGCTCGCTCTACCCAGTCTACAGGGTACTGCAGATGAAGAAGTAGTGATTCCCACGCTATGAAGACAGAAAGACACAGAACAGATAGCAGTCCTAAACGCAACCAAGCTCACAGTGAGCGAGGCATCATTGGACAGTGGAGAGATGAGCCATCTTGAGTGTGTCTATCTCACCTCCAACTTCTGCCTTTCTTGGGGTGAAGCCACAAGGGGAAACCCCAGATGTACAGAGCCTCAGGTCTAGGTTCAAATTCCAGTTCTCTTTCTTACTAACTGTCCATGGGTAAATTAGTCACTCTTTTTAACACCTTGCATCCTGATCTGTAGAATTCCAGGATAACGCGGGGCCTACATCTGACTTACAAGGATTCACACGTAGTAGGCTCTCAACAAACCTTAGTATGTCTTACTTGTGTGTGATGCTTCCTTTTCTGCTCCTTAGCTGGCTTGGTACTGAGCACGTAATCCATGCCATCTGTTGGCATGAATAAACTGTCCAAGTGAAATGTGAATTATAAATCAAATCCAACCCAAAACAAACCAAAACAAAAATGTTCTCCTGCAGGCTCCGCCCACAGGTGCTGAAAAGCCCTGTTTATTTTCTCAAGTCACCATAGCAACTGTGGATGCTCTAGCCAGCCCCAATGTTAGTTAGTAATGATCAATTTATCTTGTAACCATGGCAACATCAGAGTTCTTCTGTGGGATCCAGAGGGGGAAGGCCAGCCATAGACCTCATGTGACCAGCTCTCCATTTCAGTTACCCTGTAGCTGAACCCACCTCCATTTACAATGGCGGTCACTGCTTTTCCTACAAGCAGGGACTTAGTAAGAGAGGGTTCATCAGACAAAGAAGGGTGGCTGATAGAGCAATTAACACCTCGGGACACTTGTTAAGAGCTTGCCCAAAGTGGGGATCTGAATTCTCCAAAGGCAGCCTGAGGACTCTGTGCCCTCTGATGCCTCTCTCTGGGGACTTCTGCCCCGACACAGTCCGGCTTTCAGATGTTACATTTTAAACAGACTTCCACCACAGGTGAAGTTTGGGGGAAGGAACGTGTGCCTTGAAACTTCATTCCTGTGAAAACGAGGAACAGCAATGGCGGGGAGGGGCTTGTCAAACACTCTGTAGACCTGAAGGAGCCCCCCCACTCCCCACCCCCCGCACAACGACGGGAAGGAGCCAGATCTGACTGGAGTGTTGAGACCAAACCAGGCCACTGCCTGCATCCACACTGTGTTCAGCTCTGGGTCTTCCCAGGGGCCACACAGAACCCCAGAAAGGGGTGTGTGTCTTTGTTCTGGCTCAGGAGACTTTAAATAGAAGGCGATGCACTTAACACCCAAGCTCTGACCTCGGGGGTTCCTCCTGCAGGAGACCAGGCAGGGCTCCCAAAAGTCATTTGTCTGCCTGCCACGAGAAGCCTGTTTTGTGTGGACGGAAGGACTGTAGTCCTCCCCTCAAACCTAGCACAAAGCAAAGGTGGATAAAACCATCCATCTCTGTCAGGAAGCCTTGTTGCTGCCTTCCTGGGATGGTAGGGGCTAAGGTCCCACCCACAGGGAAGAGAAGAGGACCCCCGCCCCGCAGGTCTCCAACAAGTGACAGACTGCCAGCGCCAAGCAAAATCAGAGTGGGCAAGAGCAACCTTTATCTGGATTCAGGAGGGTGGGCTCTGCCAGCCAGGGGAGGGGAAGATGGGGAGGGATCAGAGATCCAGAGGGGTCACCAGGTGGGGGCTGGGCAGGGAGGGAGACTCTGGCTGTCCAGGCTCTTCCAAGCTGTCTTGCTCTGGAGTGGGACACCCTGCGTGGGCAGCTCCACCCTGGGGTGCACGAGGTGTACTGGCCGCCCCACCCGGGGCAGCTGGCTCCCCGCGCTGTGCACTGGCACCAGGTGGGACGGCGGGAATCGGGACAAAGGACCCCGGTAAGGATGTTGGAGCGGCAAGGGCAAGGACCGCGAGGCTCCGGCCCGGCAAACTTGGCGAGCCAAGGTGCGTGGGGGAAAGACGCCTGGTTACCTGCGCGGCCATGAAAGACAGATCCATGGTGTCGTTGCTGGCGTGGCTGCTGCTGGGGCTGCCGCTGTTGCTCTCGCGGCCGCTGCGGGTCCCGCCGCCCGCACAGCGATCTGGGAGCGGGCGAAGCACCAAGCAGGCGCCCCCGGGCCCCGGCGCCGACCTCCGCAGCTCCGGCGTGGCGGCTCTCCAGCCCGCACGGCGCCCGCGCTGGCTCGGGCTCCCACTCCAGAAACCAAGTGGGCGGGGGACCCGGAGCGTGGGGCCCCTCCACGTGACCACTCCCAGCTCCACCCCCGGGGGCGGGCCCAGCAGGACCCCTGAGCTCCTGCAATCCTGTTTCTGACAGAGCCAGATGGGGAAACTGAGGTCTGGAGTGGGCCAGCTGGGTGAGCCAGCCTCAATCCCAATCCAGCACTTGAGTCTACCCCTCAAGGGACCAGGGACAGCGCTTTCGTGGTGCTAGCTGAGTTAGGGGGTGACCCGGATTATTTTGATCTGGTTTTCAATGCCATCCCGGGACCCAGACTCTAGAGTGCTCCAGGCTCTAGTATTGGGCAGAGTAAAGCTTAAAGTCTAGCTTTGCTGCATAGCGGCTTGAGTGAATGTCTCCTAGAGCCTGGGTTTCTTCATGTGTAAAATCAGAATGACAGAATCTAGGAGTTAAGCTTTGTGGCCTATGTCACCACAGAGTGAGGAGTTACATGGCCAGTGTCCCTTGGTAGAGACCTGGATACGAATGGCCTTCCAGGAGTGCACAGTGCATAACCAGCACAACTGGTGCCCTGTGACTGTTAAGATGTCTTACCTTGGGACTGGAGAGATGGCTCAGTGGTTAGGAGCACTAGCTGCTCTTGCAGAGGACCCGGGTTCAGTTCCCAGCACCTACATGGCGGCTAACAACCTGCTGTAACTCCAGTTCCAGGGAATCCCATGGCCTCTTCTGACTTCCACAGACATTGCACAATTCAGGTGCACTTACATACATGCAGGCAATACAGTCATACGTATAGAATAAAAATAATAAAAATGTGGGTTTTTTTTTTTTTTTTTTTTTGTCTTTTTGAAGCAGGGTCTCCCTGTAGCCCCAGCTGTCCTGGAACTCACTATGTAGACCAGGCTGGCCTTGAACTCACAGAGATCCACCTGCCTTTCTTCAAAACGGTATTCCAAACCACAGTAGGTGTTTTAGCTACAGTGGACCCCTGACACTGGTGGACAAGCTTTCCAGAAGGGCCTGTTGCTCTGCAGAGTGTGAGTCTCTCTCCTCCACCCATCTCCTGCTTTCTCTCCCTCCTCCTTTCTTCCCTCTCCCTTCCCACCCCCTGCTTTCTCATTCTATTTCTTTCCTCAAATAGTAAGCTCCTTCCAGTCTAACAAAAAACACAAGCAATTGTCTATAAACCCAATGAGCATCTCTCCAAAGGTCTCGTCTACCTCCCCACCCCCAGGGCCTCCTCTAATCTAGAAGATCATCTTCATTTTGTTGTAGGTTTATTATTCCCATTTACCTGCTTTCAACCTTTATAAGGACACAGAAGCCCTGAGATGCATTCTTTCCTGGCTCATCCCACCCAACCTTCAGTCAGCATTGCATCTGTGTAGCTAGTGATCTCTGACACTGATCATTCCCTGGTATTTGCATGCTGTCCGGGTCTTCTACAAAGTGATGCTTCTGTGACACTCTTGACCTACCTACCTGATGCACAGGCTCGTGGCTCTCAGAATTCCTGCTAAGAACGAATCTGTGTGACCAGCCCATCTTTACTTTTTACCACACCATTGCTTCCCAGGTTGTGATTCCTTTTTTTAAAAAAAATATTTTATTTTCAAAACTTGATAGTATGACCTTATTGCTGAAGACACTCACTATGTGAGTCATAGAACAAACAAGGAGCAATTAATCTGGTACTGACCTTGACGCTTCATGTCTCCTGGAAAGCTTTCATAGTACTGAAAGGTGCTATCTATGTGTGATACCAGAAGAGAAAAGTAATCATCATTTTTACCCAGCTGTGAAAACCCTGCAAGTTACAATGACGACTGGACTGGAAAGATATGCCCACTGGTGCAGTAGTGGCACGAATGTTATTGGAGTAACCAACCACTCTGTGGTTGGATTTAAAGCCCATTTACAAGATGGAGCCCACACCTGGCACTATTCTCAGGCCTAGGAACCTGTGGCTAGACAGGTTATAGGCTGCAGGGGAGAACCTGTCACAGTTATTCTGATAAATGGATATAGTAGTAAGCCAACTTCTGAAGACTTATGGTTATATCCATGGTGCATCTCTTAGCCTTCAACAGAGGAGTTTCTTCTTGCAGCAGATGGTGATTAACACAGAGACCACCAATTAGTCAATATGCAGAGAATAAGAGACTCCAGAGAGCCCTGAAGAGGATACTATTACATACCCTCTCCTCCCAACGCTCTGGGATCACTGAGGAAGAGGAAACAGAGAAATTGTAAGAGCCAGAGGTGGTGAATGACCACAAGGAAACAGTGGTTTCCAGACAGCAGTGTAGTTACTCATATGAACTCAGAGCAATGGGGGCAGCATGCACAAGACCTAGCTGCTGGGAGAGGGAGACTAATATTGGGGATCTTGATATAAGGGTCTGATATTGGTGGGTCTTGATACAACCAAGGTATAGAACATTATTACAATCCCTAAAAGCCACTTCTGTCCCTGGCTGTCAATTCTACCACCATCTCCAGCCTCAGACAGCCAAGGTCAGGCTTCTGGCACCACAGACTAGACTTTTCTAGATTTTTCTACAGATGGAATGTGTTCTCTTCTTCTGTCTTTGTTCTGACTCCTTTGGGTTCTGCATTAGATACCTGAGTTATCCACACCTTATATTATTAACAGTCCCATTTTACTATAGAGTGTCCTTATGGATGGGGACCACAGCCCGTTCATCCCCTCTCCTGTTGATGGGCAGCTGGGGTTGTGTCCAAGTCTTTGACTGCTGTCCTAGTCAGTTTTCTACTGCTGTGATGAAAACACTCTGACCAAAAGCAACTTAGAGGAAAGGGTTTATTTGGCTTACAGCTCACTGTCTATCATTAAGGGAAGCCAAGGTAGGGACTCAGGGACTCAGGGCAGGAACATTGACTAAGGAAGGATGTTGCTTACTGGCTTGCTCCTCTGGCCTATGCTCAGCTAGTTTTCTTATACAATGCAAGGTGGTACCACACACAGTGGGCTGGACCCTTTCAATCAATAAACATTTAAGAAAATGCCTTACAGACATGACCACAGACCAGTGTGGTGGAGGAAATTCCTCAGTTGAAGTTCCCTGTTTCCAGAGTATGTCGACAACTGAAGCCATCCAGCACAGCTGCTATGAAGACTTCTTACAAACACTGGCATCTAAATCTTCATATAGACATTGTTTGCTCAGTTGCATGGTTCTTGGACTCCACCATGGATTTCGTAGTGTCTGTGCACTCTATGGCACAAGAGTCCCAGTTGACTTGCTTTTTTTTTTGCCAACACTTGGTACTTTCATTGCTTTTGATTCTACTGGGTTGGAAAGTGGCATTTCCTTAGGTTTCAAATTGTATTTCCCTTAATGACTGACAGTGCTGATCACCAGTTCACTGGCTCAAGTCCATTGATCTATTTCCTTCTGTGAATCTCTTCTGTTCAAGCTGTTTGCTGATTTTTCAAAGCTTTGTTATTGAGTTATAAGTGTTCTTTACAAATTTCAGAAGCAAGTTCTGTGCCAGATGCGCATTTTCTCAGTCTCTGGAAGCTCATTTTCGTGTGCAAATTTTACATTTTTAGTTACTTTGGACTTTAAAAAAATTAACTTACATTTTATTTATTTTAGCGTGCATGTGGGTAGGGCACACGTGCCATGTGGCACATGTGAAGATAAGAGGATGACTTTCAGAGTCAGTTTTCTCCTTCTGCCACATGGGTCTCAGGGAGTCAACTCAAGTCCTCAGACTTGGTGACAGGCATCTGCACCCAACACAGCCATCTCACTAGCCCTACTTTAGGCTTTTTATTGTACGTAGCTAAGGTATATGAGATCTGTTGACGTGTTTGTGTTTACATACATTTGCATAATGAAATGATCACTGCTGTCAAGCAAATTAACAGACCCACCACTGAAGTAATTACCTTCCTTCTCTTTCTGTAGGAAAAATAGTAAAAACCTACTCTTTACAAATGGCCAGTGGGTGAGGTGTCATTAGCTCTGGGGCTGCACAGGAGACCTCCAGACTCCATCATCCCACCAACACTTCAACTCTGTGTCCTTTCACCTCCTTCTCTCCAACCACAGACCCTGCTCTGCTCCTGTCCCCTCCTTCCCCTCCTCCACCCACACATCTTACCCTCCCTCCCTCCTTCCCTCTTTTCTTCTTTCTCTTTACAACTCTGTGTATGAGAAGAGAGTTTCTGTCCATGTCTTACCATAAGGTTTTGCACACTGCTGCAGCAGAGGCTCTCCTTAACAAGGCAGAATGTGTTCCACACCACATACACACGCACACATACACACATATACCCCACCCACACATATGTATACACCACGCACACATATTCACCACACATACCACACTATATCATACACATACACACACATACACACACACACACACACTACCACACCACATATTGTACCATCTTCCTGGAAGGTGGGAGAGCATTTTCTTCATGGGATGTGAGAACAACCAGTCTTTCTGGGTGGAGATCCTTGGGCAAGATCTCTGGCTCATCTGGTGGTACTGGTTTCAATGTCTGCAGGAACCTCCGTACTGTGTTCCATCATGGCTACTCCAACCTGCATCCCCCAGCACTGTGATGGTTAGTGTTCATTAGTGTCACCTAGAGAGCATGCCTCTAGGTTATTCAAGTCATCATCTGGTGTACTTGTGAGGGATTATCTTGATTAGGTTCATTGAAGTGGGAAAACCCACCCCAAAGGAAGACAGCACCATTCCTTGGCTCGGGTCTTGGGCTGGTAGAAAAGAGTAAGGATGTGAGCATTTCTCTCTCTCTGTCTCCCTCCCTCCCTCCCTCCCTCCCTCCCTCTCTCCCCCTCCCCTTCCCTCTCCTTCCCCTCCCTTCCCTCTCTACCTTCCTCCATCCCTCCTTGCTGACTTTGGTTACAATGTGCCCAGCTGCTTTAAGCTCCTACAACCCTGACTTCCCACCATGATGGACTGTGAACTGTGAACTAAACAAACTGTTCCTTCTTTAAGCTATGTAACCTGCATCAGGCATTTTGTCACAGTGATGAGAACATTAACTGAGATGCTAACACTAATCAGTTTCAGACTGACACTTTAAAAACTATTTTTACCCCCTCTCCCATTTCTTAATAATGTTTTCAAAGAGAAATCTTTCATTTTAATAAAATCTAATAGATTTTTAATCCCACCTAAAGGCACGGGCATTTTCTTTGCTCTAAAAGTTTTCCCACTACAGCCTCAAGCTTAGGCTGTTGGGTTTCTTTTTCTCTTTCCTAAAATGATGCTCAGTTGCCCAGGTACCATTTGTTATAATGACCATTCTGAACTCCTGAACTCATTGAATTACTCAGGACTGGGAGCAGCATGGAAACACATACAAAATTTAAGGGAGAACACACTCTGAAGCTCAGCCCTGTATCTGCGGTACCCTGGCAGTGAGTGCCTCCTTAAATCTTGACTTCCAGCCCTCACTGCCTAGTAAGCTCCTTCCAGATAGAGTCGTACATTAGAAGGTGGCTCTCCTCTCTAAATGCTGGGCAAGGCCTGCTCACCCGGCATATCCAAGGACCCTCAGAGGACACCTAGAGCTCTGCCAACCATCTACTCAGCAGCCTCTCCTGGGTGGCTAATGGCAGCTCACATTCAATCTGGCCAACACTGAGCTCGGATTCCCTCTTCTATCTGGTTCCATCTCAAGCAGACAGTAGTACTATCCGGGTCCTTTGTGTATGGCTCACGGGTTGCACACCACACAAGGGACACACTGCACAGCCCAGCTCCCCTCCTGTGGCCAGGTGAGGGGCCATGTCTGCCTAGAGGAAAAGGTGCCTTTGCTGATTCCCCCAAATCATCCTTCAGTCTCCTCCCTCCCTCACCCTGATTCTCTCGAGGTCCACGGGGAGCTTCCTTCTGGAGGACACCAGCTGACGGGTGCTTCCTCAGGGACTTGAGTCTCTGCTTTCCTTCTATTTGGATCCTTCTGGTGGTTCAGTTTCATTTCAAAAGCCAGTTCTTCAGGGTTAAGAACATATACTATGCTTGCAGAGTATGCAAGTTCGATTCCCAGCACACACATCAAGCAGTTCACGGCCACCTGTAATTCTAGTTCCAGGGGATCTGATGCCTTCTTATGGCCTCTGTGGGCACTGCATGTACCTGGTGCATACAAACACATACAAGCACACATACATACACATAAAAAAATTAAAAATTGAAATTTTAAGCCACTTCTTCTAGGAGGCCCTCCAGGATCATGCTGGCTTACATGTTAATGCGATGCCTTATTTTATTTTTCTATTGTATTTCTTCTTTTAAATGACTCCCCTGTTGGAAGAGGCAACATGCCCTGGGCCTTGAATGCCTCAGTTCTCCCAGGGGATTGGCAAGAATGCAAGGCCCTGGTGGCTCTTTCCTGGCTGTTTCTCAAAGTCATCTTTAGTGTGTAGCAGAGTGAGGCCCCCTGGCCCTCTGGACACAAGGTGGCCTTGTTCAATCTTGAGCAGTGACTCCTTGAGGTTCCTGTTGTCTTTCTGTAACAGTCCATTGTTTCT